CGAAGTGATGCACACTCAAGGCCAACGGCTGGATAAGAGGCAGAAGTGAGAAGCAGCTGTGGAGCACTACACATTCCAGAGTCAGGGGGGAAAAACCTATGGTGGTACTACCTGACATCCCACCCACCCCAAGGCCCCCACCCCGGCTTGTCGGGGAAGAGAGAGTGGAAGAGGCGGACCAAGCAAGGAGCCTGCACATCAGAGGCTTTAACCCATTCCCTGTGTTCAGGGCCAAAAACAACCCATTCTACAAGATAATACAGGCGGTTATGTTTAAAGCAAGAGTCCAAGATTTGGGCAACTTCAAAATGCGGTTGTCCATTCGCCATCACGGGGGGGAGGGGTTGGGCTCGGGCTGGGTGCCAGACGTTCGGCCTTGGATCTTTCCTGAGGAGAGAAGAGTGAAACACAGGATGGACGTGTTTAAACGTCTTAGGAAGGTCCAGTTCAACAGTGACATAATTGATTTTCTGCACAACCGCGAAAGCTTATGAATTTCCAACCTAGCTTATGGCTAGGTTGCGAGAGTCTTAAGTTCTTTGTGGAGATATACGCTGTGACGTCCTCCTTATTGGGGAGGACTGGTTCCCTTTAAAAGTTCTGTTTTTATTCTGTTTACCTGGGTATAGACGGCTGCCACCAGGAAATTTTAAGGATTTCCAAACCTTTATACTTTACTGTTGCTCTTACTATTTTGGTAGACCGAGTTCAAGGCTTATGAGGAACTATATGGTCCTGAGGAAGTATTTCTTTCAGAGCTGGTATACTTGAATAAAAGAGGATTTATTGAAATAATTCATAAATAAAAGGGTAGAACAATGTAACTAGTAATGTGTAAATAATGAACAATTGCTTGGTGTATCACACACAATCTGCTCCTTTACTGACAGGGATCTTTTCATGTAACTTTATATCACTTGTTTATCTCCATGCCACATAGGTTCACTGTCTCTTTCCAGTCTGTTATAACACCCAGACTTTACTATAACATTTCTTCACCTAAACTTTACGTTTTCATAGACTCAGCCCTCAGATCTCTTATCCTTTCTCTCAGAACAACCTCAGCTGTTCTTAACTGCTTCAACACTTATTCCACACAGGTCTGCTTCTCTTCCCCCACACACAGAACTAACTGAACTTATCCACTGTCCACCTGTAACTGTCACTCCTGACTGACATACATACTCATCCACTCATTTTCACTTCCAAAACTCCTCCCCCTCTCTGTCAACCACCAATCATACCACACTTGCCTCTTTCAACCACTCTAGTCTATCCACCACAGCCATGCAACCAAACTTTTAAAGAGACACACACAGAGAGAAACAAGGAATCGTTACATACACCTTGTCCCCAACTTCCACCTCCCAAGCCGGGAGACGTTTACGGTCTGCCTGGGCTTTATAGGAAGCATTGGCTTTGTCCAACGTCTGCTGCAGGAGCGGCCAGGCATCTTTAACCTGGCGCCACCAGTCCTCAATGCTCCCCTCCCCAGGAGCGTCCGTAGGCAACCAGGGAAGGGGGGTACATTCGTAGCCATGCACCACTTGAAATGGGGAGACCCCTGTGGATGAGTGAACCGCGTTATTGTAGCAATATTCGGCGTACGGGAGCAACTCAATCCAGTCATCCTGTTGAAAATTAGTGAAGCAATGCAAGAATTGTTTGAGGGTTTGATTAACCCGTTCGGTTTGGCCATCAGTTTCTGGGTGGTAGGCGCTGCTGAGGGCCCGTTCAACCCCAGGTGTCTTCAGCAATTCACCCCAGAACTTAGCCACGAATTGAGACCCCCTGTCGGAGACCACCTTCTTCGGGATCAAATGGAGTTTGACAATATTATGCATAAACAACTTAGCCAACCGTTTGGCAGTCGGCAATTGCTTCGGGGGGGGGGAAATGTGCTTGCTTAAAAAACATGCCCACAACTACCCAAATGACTGTCTTCCCCCTGCTAGGGGGCAAATCCGTGATGAACTCCGTAGACACAACTTCCCACAGCTAGGTAGGAGTTGGCAGAGGTTGCAAAAGACCCGGAGGCTTTCCCAGTCGGGGTTTACACATGAGACAAGTGGGGCAGGACTGTACATATAAAGAAATGTCTTTTCTCATGCCCGCCCACCAGAACTGCCTTTGTAAAAGATGCAACGTCTTTAGGTAGCCAAAGTGACCTGCCAGTTTAGATCCATGAACTACTGCCATCACCTGGCTGCGCAGGGTCCTGGAGACGAAGAGGCGATGGTCCTTATACTAGCAACCATCTTGCTCCGTCCAACTCAACTTCCGAACGATCAGAGTCAGAAAAGGTGGAGGCAAAATCAGTGGCCCAGTCCCTCCCTCCAGCATCCTTTTCCGCTTTTACCTTAGTATGTGGGATGACCGCCACCCCCACCCCCAGTTGGGTGGGAGTGAAGATCAAGTCCACTACTCCCTCCCTCTGACTGTCGTGTTGTGGGAGGCACAAAAAGGCATCAGCTAAGGAATTCGCCTTTCCCGGGAGGTGGTGAAGTGTGAATTGAAACTTGGAAAAGAAGCAGTCGCTTGGCATTAAGATTATGGGGCGTGGGCCGGTTAAGAGGACTAGGCATAGGGGGCAGGGCGACGCTATGTGCAGAGCGGTCGCGTGAACAGAGAGCTCCCGATCCCGAGCCCTTTCCCGCCCGATTACCTCGACTAAAATCATGCTGAAAACTGAACAAACTCACAAGGCAGAAGCGGGTAAGCAGAAGAATATAATTACCTTTCCAAAACTTGCTAAAGACTCCTTAGACCCATCGCTTCATCGCGCTAACACTTCCAGGCCCGAAAATAAAATGGTGGGCGCAACTGATCAATCAGACCAGATATTGCCTGAATCTTCCTCCTCCACGATCCTGGACTATTTAAAAAATATGGAGGCAGGCATATACCATAGAATTGATAATCTCTCGTCTCAACTAGAGAATATGCAAATGTCTTTACATCATACCACTCAAAAGGCAGAAGAAGCCTTAGAAACAGGCCTGGCCAACAGGGGGAAAATTGAAACTTTACAAAAGGCCTCAGATCTCCAAAAGGATCACTTAATTACACTTGAGGCAGAACTAAAAGCTGCTAATTTGAAATTCAGAGGCCTTTCAAAATTGGCCGAAGAAAACAAAGATTTAATAACTTTCATGGCACACTTTATTGCGTCATCTTTAAAGCTTGAAGAAGGGATCCTTCCTATTATAACAGGGGCAGCACGTTTAGGCCCAATTCCAAGGAGTGCATACCCTAAGCCAAGAGACATTGTTGTTACCATCCCTGATGTTCGAGTAAGACACACAATCCTTGAAGCTGCTAAACACCCAGGTCACTTTCAATATAATGGGGAACCTATTCAAGTATACCCAGACATCCCTAGAGAGGCTATTGCAATAAGAAAAGCATTGAAAACCACCACCTCTAAGCTACAAAAAATGAAACAAAAATACAAGTGGCTCCCCTCAGGGAAACTTTATGTAGCATATCAAGGCCAACGCTTGTATGCTTGGGATGAAAATAGTGGGAAAGAACTGCTTCAGGCTTTGGATCAAGAACATCCCACGGAACAAGGAGATAAACATTCCTCTAATAAAAGAGGACGCTCCCCATCGTCTCCACAAAAACCAAGCAAACTGCCTGTGTTGTCTCATGTAGGAGACTCTATGTGATTTAATACAAACTTGTTAATGTTAAGCTATGGATATGACTTTAATAATCTATTCAAAGATGTTATATGCGCATGATTTTGTTTATTTCATTTATAGAAAGCGAGGGCGGGGAGGGTGATGGGGGGGGAAGTCTCCTCTGCTTCATTAGCTCCCTGTGTGTGGGTGTACCTAGAAGACTGTATTGTTGCAGTCCCTCAGAAAATTGTTCTGAGGCTCTAGGTACCTTTTGTTTAGTGTTATTTGTAATAGTTCAATTTTATACAGGTTGATATTTTGAGTAACGTGATAAATTTTTGGTAAGCTCTTTGTATACCTTGTATATATTGTAGTTGGGTGTTTATTTGCCTTAACTCTTATATTGAGCAAGTTTGAATAACATATAAATTTTGACTGTTTGATATTTCTTAATACCATTATATATTTACACCCAGATATTCAAATATAATATTTCAGCTTGGCACAAATGTCGGATACTTATACTTTTAGATCCATTAATGTGCATGGTTTAAACAACTGTATAAAACGTCGGAAAATGACCTCCTTTATATTAAAAGACAAACCAGATGTGATCTTCATGCAAGAGACGCATTTAAAAACACAAATAAAGCCTGTCTTAAACGTTGGTTGGTATGATCAGCAATACCAAGCAGGAGGCTCCTCGAAAGCCAGAGGTGTGGCTATTTTACTGGCTAAGTCGATTCAGTTCATCCTGAAAGATAAATTAGAAGACCCACATGGACGATACTTATTCTTGAAAGGCATGCTGGACCAAGAGCAAATCACCTTGGCATCTGTGTACGCCCCGAACGACTCTCAGGAAAAATTTATAGATGACACCTTGTTGAAACTGGATCAATTCAAAGAAGGTCAGGTGATTGTTGGTGGAGATCTGAATTTGATTATGGATCATCATTTAGATAAATCAGGCAAGACGCAAAAGACCATGCTTCAACACAACAGGTTTTCTAAACTTCGAGAACTTTTAGGAAAATTCCACCTCCTTGACGCTTGGAGAGAGACGCACCCAGGAGAAAGAGACTATACATTTTTCTCCTCCAGACACCACTCATACTCACGCATTGATTACCTGCTAGTATCAGATAACATTTTGCCTAAACTAGCATCTACCTCCATTGGCCCATTTGTTTGGTCTGACCACGCTTATGTGGAATTCCGACTCCAAAAACAGATCAAACACCACTCGCAACGCACATGGAGACTGAACAACTCTCTTTTATTACAAGACGACATAAAAGATGATCTGACGCAGACAATAAATCTTTATTTCAAAGAAAACTCCAACGGTGAGGTTAAAGATCATCTCGTTTGGGACGCATTCAAAGCGGTTCTTCGGGGGAAGTTGATTGCGATTTCCTCTAAACGGAAAAAAGAGAAAGAACGGTTTATCAAAACCACACTGAATCATATTCAAGAATTAGAAACTCTACATAAACGTACTGGTAGCAAGAAAATATTTAAAGACCTTTTGGCACATCGAAAAATATTAGAAGCACATGAAACTACAAAAATACAGAAAAATCTTACTTTTATGAAGCAATTATATTGGCAAAAAAATAACAAAAGCATCAAACTTCTCGCCTGGCGAGTTAAAAACAAACAACGACAACGTAAAATTTTATCAATAAAAACTTCAAAGAACGTTATGACCACGGATCCAGAGGAAATTAACAAATGCTTCACACTATTTTACGAGAAGCTTTACAGCTCCACTAATCCAAAGGTGGATAAAATCCGAGACTTCTTAAGACAACATCACCTGACAAGAACCTTACAACAGGAACATCGAGATTATTTGGACCTTCCAATCACCAACACTGAAGTTCGAGACGCACTGAAATGCACGAAATCCAACACTGCTCCGGGTACGGATGGCTTCGGCCCTTTATTTTACAAAACGTTTCAAACATCTTTAATTGAACAATTCACAATAACATGCAACCATATAATGTCTACGGGTCTTCTTCCTCCATCTTGGACTGAATCCAAGATCACCACGATTCCTAAAGATGATTCCAATAGAGATTCACCATCCGCATATCGTCCAATTGCTCTACTCAACTGCGACGCGAAACTTTTTGCAAAAATCCTTGCCTCTAGACTTCAGCGTATTCTTCCTAACTACATCGCTGATGACCAAACGGGTTTTATCCCCAACCGCACACTCACGGATAATATCCGTAGAACTCTGAATCTCATAGCACACTCCAACCATCAATCTACGGAATCCCTTCTGCTCTCGATCGACCTTGAAAAGGCCTTTGACAGTTTGGAAACCACCTACCTCAACCAACTTCTACTGGAAATGGAGTTCGGAAATAGGTTTAGATCATCTATCAAAGCTCTCTATGCGGCGCCCACTGCCTGTATCCAAACTAACGATATAATTGGAAAAAGGATCGCCATGCAGCGTGGTACCAGACAAGGCTGTCCCCTGTCGCCGTTATTATTCGCACTAGCAATGGAACCGCTAGCGACCGCCATTAGAGAAAACCCCAAAATTAAAGGTATTCGTATAAATGATTCTATACACAAAATCAGTTTATATGCTGACGACGTTGTCCTTTTTTTAACCGAACCGGCAGCTTCTTTAACAGCACTACAGGAACTCTTCAAAGACACGCAAGATCTGTTCGGCTTAAAAGTCAACCTTGGAAAATCTCAAATAATTCCAATCAACATATCGGATGATACAAAACACTCCATTCAATCCAATTTTCCGTATAAATGGAATTACTCCTCCTGGCGATGTCTCGGAATCCATATCCCTACAGATTTACAGGACCTCCTTAAATGCAATCTTCAAGCACTTTTTAAAGACCTCCGAAATAAAATGAAACAGTGGTCTTCGATGCAATTTTCTTGGGCAGATCGGCTTAGTGTCATCAAGAGCATTCTTTTACCAAAATTTTTATTTATACTTCGCTCTCTACCAATACAAATCACGAGAAAGGAACTTTCTAATTGGCAGACGGCCTTTCTACAGTTCTTTTGGAATTACAAAAAACCACGAATTAGCTTTGCAGCCCTAAAAAGACCATCAAAAAAAGGAGGCTTTGATTTCCCGGATCTACTCCTATACTACGAAGCAGTACAACTCTCCTCAATCGTTAAGTTGCTCACCGCAGAAACTCACCCAAGCTGGCAATCTTTGGAAGAACACATATGTGATCAGATACCATTATCGGATCTTATTTGGCAAACGAACGTGGAAAGACATGAAAATGTTCACCTAATATCATTCTTGGAAGCGGCTTTGGAAGTTTGGGACCGCAGACGTCCGGATCTATTATCAAAAAACTCTGTATTATCTTCTTTTTTAAACCAAGACTGGTTCATCCCTGGAAAAGAACCGAAAGCTTTTCAATCTTGGAGACAAGCGGGAATATCTAGATTGATAGACCTTCTTGATAAAGGACTTCCTCTCACGAAAGCTCAAATAGAACAGAAAATTGGCGAAAAAATACCTTGGTTTCGTTATTTACAAGTTCAGCATCTCCTAAGGGAAAAGATTCCATCACATACTCCCAGTAAATCTTTCACAGACTTCGAAAAATTGATCATTTACAAAACAGATAATATTAAAGGCTTAATTTCTAAAATCTATAAAATCCTTGTCAACACCACAAAACAGACAGCTTTAAAATCCCAAACTCATTGGGCAAAAGATTGCCAAAATAGGATTCAACAGGATCAATGGCCAGACATATGGTCATCACCAAACCTGTCTTCCAAAACCTTCAACATCAAATTAACTTCCTTCAAGACTCTACACCGATGTTATCTGACCACTGTACGTCTGTGCAAGATCTATTCCGTTTGTGATGACAAATGCTGGAAAGGCTGTGGACAACCTGCGGACTTTCTTCATTGTTGGTGGACTTGCCCCTTCATCCAACCATTTTGGTCTCTTATCTTGACTCAAATTAAATCCATCGTAGGAATTGACTTACCTGCTCTTCCGGAGACGGTCCTCCTAGACATCCTTCCTGATACCTGTGAAAGAAAAACACAAAGAAATTTAACTTCAATTTTATTAGCTATTGCCAGGATAACAATCGCTCAGAAATGGAAAAGAAGCTCCTCACCTAACCTATATGACTGGCAAAACAACTTGTGGGAACATTTCATTTATGGGAAAACGACTTCTCCTCAATCACAGAATGCTGTTGAAAACTTTCAGGCGATCTGGTTCCCAGTAGTTACGTACTTAGCTAGAAATGAAATCATCCCGAAGAATGAACATCTTAAGGACTTATTACACTTTTAAACATTAGAATCCACACAAGAGAATCTTGTTAGACTGAATATATCCTTACTTAGGCGTATATTCTGCTTGTTCCATATACAGTTGTTTATTCCTTTATGCTTTATATGGCTATCGTTAACCTGACTTATGTTGTATTATACATGTAAAATTAATAAAAATTTAATTTAAAAAAAAAAGATTATGGGGCGTGCATAGAACTTCGAGGTTTTTATGATCTGTCTAAACCTCGAACAGCACCCTTGCCCCTTCCAACCAATCTCTCCAGGTGGAAAGAGCGAGCCAGATGGCCCCAGCCTCCTTATCCCAAACAGCCCAATTGCGCTCCGTGGCATTAAATTTCCACGAAACATAGGCCAAGGGGTGCAGTTTACCATCCTCTCCCTCTTGCAGGATAGCCCCTCCCATCGCCACATCCGATGTGTCCACGTGCACAATGAATTTCTGGTTTTCATCTGGATGGGCCAACACAGGTTCAGATGTGAATAAGGATTTAAGTTTGTCGAAAGCCGCTTGACATTTTGAGGACCACGGCACCCGAGCACCATGTTTTGTGCTTTCCGGTCCCTTCTCCTTAGTTTTCAGTAAGTCAGTGAGGGGAAGGCTGCCCTGGGCGAAATTGGTGATGACATTTCGATAAAAAATTGAAAATCCGAGGAAGGATTGAAGTTGCCTCCTAGTGCGAGGAGCTTCCCACCCCAGTACATCCTGCACTTTTGCTGGATCTATTTCTAAACCCCTAGGGGATATGCAGTAACCCAAAAAGACTATTTCTCTTTTGTTGAACTCACATTTGGACAGCTTAGCAAACAGCTTATGCTTGTACAAAGTCTGAATTACATCCCTCACCAACTTAATGTGTGACTCTTCAGCTGGGGAGTACAGTAACACGTCATCCAAATAAACAAGCCCCCCCCCCCGAACAGGTGCTTGTGTAACACTTCATTGATCAGGTTCATGAATATTCCAGGGGTCCCTGGAGGCTGAATGGCATGACCTGATACTCAAATTGCCCCAGCAGGGTATTAAAAACAGTCTTATACTAATCCCCCTCCCATATGAGCACCCAGAAGTACGCATCCCTCAGATCCAGTTTGGAAAAGATTTTTCCATTCACCGCCTCAGCCAGGAGATCCTTTATTAGGGGGAGGGGGTCCTTCCCGTCCTTCTTTTTCTGGAACAACACGGGAGCAGCAAATTGGGAGGATGCGGGGCGTACAAACTCCCGGGCTACGTTTTTATCAATAAACCGCCTCAGCTCCTCTTCCTCTGTGGGGCTCATGGCGTAGAGTTTACCCTTGGATAACTTTTGCCCGGGCAGTAACTCAATGGCACAGTCTGTATTATGGTGCGGGGGCAACTCGTCGGCCTCCTCTTCCTCAAACACCCTGGCCAAGTCTTGATAGGCTGGGAGAATGGCCTGTAGCTCCTCCGTTGCCAGGCATGCCTGTACCAGCTCGTCAGGAGGGGTAGGACCCCAAGCAGGATCCCAGCCATGGCTCTGGCACTTGGGGGAGATGAACCACACCCTCCCTTCTTCCCATAAGATATATGGGTCATGGTCATGCAACCAGGGGCTTCCCAGCACCAGCGGGAACCTCGCAGCAGGGGGAATAAAAATGTTCAGTGCTCCCAATGTTCCCTCTCAGCTCCCATTCTCAATGGGCCAGTCTGGTATTTACATGGCTCTTTCAAAGAAGAACCATCCATCTGAGTGAATACTATGGGGTCCGATAACTTTTCCACTGGGGCCCCCAAACACATTACCAAGGAGGGGTTTATCAAGTCTCTGGCACACCCCGAGTCAATAAGGGCTCTCACACATACATGAGTGCCCAAGTCTGGATTCATCACAGTCATGGTAACAAAAAGAGGGGGGGGGTAACTGCTCACCGTACGTGGCACAGGGGGATGTTGGACCTGCTGCTCAGTGCCACTTACAGCAGGTCCCGGCCTTTTCCCGCCAGCTCGTCATCCTCACTGGTGGTGGAGCTGGAACTTTCTTCTGCGACTCCAAACTGGAGGGCCCATTGTACTTTGGCTTTTGTGGTCCCTTTCTTGAATGGAGTGTCCGGTTTCTTTTTCCCTGCATCCTTAGCCAAAGCAGACCTTCCCGGGGCCCCGGGGCAATCGGCGGCAAAATGCCTGGCCTCTCCGCAATGGAGGCACAGACCTTGCTTTGTGCGCATCTCTCGGGTGCCACCAGGCAGAGGTGGTTTGCCATTGCCTGCCACTGTGTAGCAACCCTGGACTGCCTTGGTGGTCTCCCATCCAAGTACAAACCAGGACAGACCCTGCTTAGCTTCTGAGTTCTGGTGAGATCAGGCTAGCCTTGGGCCATCCTGGTCAGGACTAGTAGAGGAAATCCGGGGGAAATGCAAGAAGGCATTCTGTGCAGCAAATGCTAGTGAACAAACACAACCGTCAACCCAGCGGTTCGAAAGCGCCGATTAACACCTATGCGCAAGTAGATAAAATGGGTACCTACCTTAGAAGGTAGGGGGCACCCTCCCCCGTTGAGGGGGTTGTTGGAGTGTCAAGACCGGTGGAACAGCGAAGCGGCGAGTGAACGGCTGGAAAGATGGCGTCCCGGTACAACTCGAAAGACGGAACAGACGGTGGTGGAAAGGCAGAGTCAGAAGACGTGAGGAGCGTGGACGACGCAGGCGCAGCGGAGCCGGAAGGACAGAGCTGAAGCCGCGCCAGAGCGCGATGCACGTCGGAGGGGCCCTGCTGACTCACCGCAAGAAAGACCGTCGAAAGAAAAATGGAGCCAGAGACAGCCGAGACATCGAGCCGATGGAAGCTGACCCGGGAATTATAAAGAGATCGTCCATACCTCCACTGGGTGCCGATAGGGATTGTCCCCACCCCGTGTTTCTGTGGCCATAGATTAGGTATAAAGGTCAATTGTAAGCCGCTCAGAGACCCCTTAGGGGGTTCGAGCGGGATAGCAAATTGAAACAATAAATAAATAAATAAATAAATAAACACACACATTAAGCAGGGCAGATCACTTTGCAGGCTCATAAGATAGAGCTGGATACTCCAAAATAGCAACACAATCAGTGTGCAAAAGAATTCAATTCAATTCAATTTATTACGGGTCTATATGACCGAAGTCTTGACCGAAAGAGAGTGCAAAAGGGGGTAAAATAGGTACATAAAACTGACATAAAATATGACAAAGTACATAGTCACAATCAGTAAACATATAAAACCCAGGCATAGCCCAGAAAATAAAAAGACCTAACTACACTTGGGGCGGAGCCAACTAACTAAAATCCTCCGAAGATTAACAGTCGGTGTAGGTGTTTGCAAAGATGATAGAGTTTTCAGTGTTTCTTAAGAGCAGCAACCTTAGCCAGGAACTGTGTCATGTTAGCTGTTATCAGTCCATCAGTATTTGAATCAGATAACAATACTGAAAGCACCCACGGTTGCGAGGGAAGATTCATCTTCATAAGAATAGGAATGATATTTGTCTCTCTATCTTGAGTCCAATGGGGACAGCTAAACATCAGATGGTCTAAAGTTTCAATTTCGCCAGAGTTGCACAGACAGAGGCGATCTGAGTAAGGTAAGCCTCCAAATCTGCCCAGCGTTACCATCGTTGGAAATGCATTTAAGCGGGCCAGCATAAAGGCACGGCGGTGGGATGGAATTGGTCGCGATGAATGAAAGTCAGGAAATCTCTCTGGAGGGGGCAGCAAAAGAATTTTAGTGGCATTTTTTGGAAACCAGTGGGGGAATATTCCGGTTTCTTCCAGGACCTGTTGTCCTGGTCTAAAAGTCATCTGCAAAAGCACTGCCAAGGGAGTGTGCTCAGTGCAATTTGTTAAATTAGATTTTTTTTAAAAAAGTTTGGCACCATCTCCCCAGGACTTAACAAGGGCCTGGGAATAGATCCCTCAACGGCTACAGGTCTTAATCGGTTTAGCAAAACTAGGGTATTGAAATGATCGCCCCTTATTTCCATTGTGAACGCCCTTTGTCTTTTTCTTGGAGAAGTTTCGTCTCCACCATTGGCTTCCTTTGACTCTGCCTCTTGGCATGAGCAATTCTGACACCTGGATCCTCCGGCTCTGATATCTGTGACTCATCAGATTGGGGATTCTTTTCACTGTCTGGAAATTTGGTGGTCTGGCAGTGAGTGGATACAGGGTGTGAAGGAGGTGGTGTCAAAATAGCTGCCTTTCCCTTGCGTTTCCAGTTTTGTAGCTTTGCTTCTGCCCTCCAGCCTCTTATTGTTTTCTGCAGCTGCTTCCTTCATAGTGAGCTGCACACTTCTGGCAAGAGTTCAGTAACAATGTACTTGCAGCTACTCACTCCTTTCTCTGCAGCTGCAAGAGGGAACGGCCAACGTCTCCATCAGGAGTCAGACCCTTGACAAAAAAACCCCCCCCCCCCCCCCGGAACTGACCCATTACCTATTTCCCACAATTATAAGCAAGGAGCCCATCGTCTTAAGGATGCCCAGGAGTCTAGGTAAAAAGGTAAAGGTTCCCTTGCTCGAAAGCCAGTCGAATACGACTCTAGGGTTGCGGTGCTCATCTCCGTTTCAAAGCTGAAGAGCCAGCGCTGTCCGAAGACGTTTCCATGGTCATGTGGCCGGCATGACTAAACACCAAGGTGCACGGAACACTGTCTAAGTATATTACCCCAATTAAAGATGTACACGGTACAATGAAATATCACTCTAATGAAATCTTAAACGTTTTTGGGGATTTCTATACGCAGCTTTATGACAAGGAAGACGTATTGACAACTTCCATTAAGACATACTTAGACACATACTATAATAATATTAAATCAGCAGAGGAACACAAAATAGTGATGGAAAATCCTATAACGGAAACAGAGGTCATACAAGGAATAAAAGATGCAAAAAATAATAAAGCTCCTGGTCCGGACGGCTTTAGTGCTGAGTTATATAAAAAATATAAAGACCTATTAGCCTCCCCATTAGCGAAAACTAACACATTTGTGATGCAGGAAGGCAAGTTACCAC